TTGTAGTAGTTAGTTCGGGCGCTGCTGGAATGAATCTCGGATTCGAGTGCGGTAAAAGTTATCTAACATACCAATTCTTCTTCGTTTCATTTCTTCCTTTCAATATTAGCAGATCTTTGCTCAATCTCTCTACATTTATTACCATTATTCCAACTTTGCTCTACTAATTACTTGTATTTTGATAAGTTAAACTGTCAGTTTACTAAAGTAATAAAATGACCAAAGTAATAAAAAAACCGATTAGATTTCTTTATTCTACAGGAAACAAACAAGCAAATAGCAAAGAAAAAAGATAAAAGTGATAGTATTGTTTCTTCCTTTCCAAAACAACATAAATTTATTTAAATCTATTTCTAAGTTAATTTTTGAAACTTAGGATTTCTTTTTGAGGTTATTTGTGATTTTGTAATAATAATAATAAATGAAATGAACTATTGCATATTGATTAACAATATGAAAACCAGAGAAATTAAAGAAACATTCCTTAGACAAAGTTAGAAATAGAAAGAACGATTATTTCCCGGGTTTTCCTTTTATCATCAACAATATCTATTCATTCCCATATAGTCTCAATTGCCGCTTTTTTTCTTCTAATTTGTGTAGAGGAAAGAAAGAATCAATAAATCATTTATATGCTATTTTCATTTCTGATTGATCCTTTCTGTTCCTTCAAACTCTCAAAGTTTTTTCTTTTTCTTTTCATTCATTAATTCATTTCTGCCTTTTGAGAGAATTGCGCATTCCGATTGTTTAATTTTCAGTATATCATCCGTTTCCTTTCCCTATAATATTTTTTCGAAATTTGTAACATCAAATTTTCATTATGATTGATGTTGCTTATTGAGTTAACTTCTTACTCTCAAGCAAACTCTTTCATAAAACAACGCACTGAATAATTTTATTCACTACAACAGCATTTGCACTCTATGACTCATTCAAAGTCATTTTAATACCATAATTTATTATACTCAATTCATAAAAGCTTCCTTTCCTTAATTTTCGCATTCTGTTTTCTTTGTGCTTAATTTACAATTGTTAGTTAGAGTTTAGTGATTTTTTTTTTTTTTTTTTGCTTAATATTAGTTTAGTTTTTGAAGGAGTATTGGGATTCCAAAAGTTCTAATGAGTTCGACCAACGAAAAAAATTCTTCCCGATTGATGGTCCGTTGACAGTTATGCTCCTTTACCTGTGCAATTCTTTTCAGATTAAATAACCATATTATCTTAATTATTTGGTTATTAATATTATGTAAAAGATTTATCAGAATTCTTAAAATCATTCATTACTGATCTTCAGATTGTCTTAACAGATCACTAATGTCACTAGCCACAGTACGGTCGTCATGCTACCGTATAGACCATTGGTATCGTGTCCATAGGTCTCTACATTAACATATTAATCTGATGAGAGTTCAGATTGTGCCTAGACTTAAACTGAAGTTTGGATTTGAGCTAAGGCTTAAGCAGATAGATCATTTATAATACGTCATTGCAGCAGATGATCAATTATGTTGTTTATAATATAAGTTAATAGGTTAGCAAACGTTATGGGTTGTTACTAGATCAATTAGTAATTATCTCATTATCAATTTTTATCAGAATTTATGCCATCCATCTTATATGATAACTTTTTAGTATTATGTAATATTAATAACACTACCAATATTGTTTATTTTTGCTTATTTGTTGCACATAGACCTTATTTTAATTCCTTTTAAATATGTAATTTTAGAACTTATGCACTCTTTATTTATTTTCCTCTCTTTTAAGCTAGTTTTCACTCAATGATAAGTCAAAATTGAATCAAATATTGGTGAACGATTTCCATAATGATTAGAAATTGTCACTAATAACTTTCAGCTTATGACAACTACAAGCTGTATATATTTCTAACTAAATGCTTTTTCTTTTTTTTTTTTTTTTTTGTTTATATTTTATTTGAAAGTTGTTCTGCTTCCATTACAACAAAAAATGAAAAACAGAAGTTTTTACAACCAGGAAAAATTACACTTATTTGTATTCATCGCAAAAATTATATGTTAAATAGGTGTTAGTGGTTTTTTTTTATAAGCGGATTGAAGAAATTTCCAAATGATTGAACAAATTTTATAGGTGAAGACAACATTTGCCAATCGTTCGTGCTTTTCTTCATTGAGGACAGGTGGTACTTTACTAATATACTAGATAACTACTGGATCGATCAATTACACTGATAATAATACCGCTAATCGTGAAATTATTAAATCAAAAATGTAGAACACCTTTTTTTTTAATTAGTTTGAAAATTTTTCTTTATCTTGAAAAATATACCCTGTTAACTTGAGAAATATGTAAGATTACAAATACTTGAAAATTTATAAAATTTTTTGAGATAATGGTGGAAATTTTGGAGTTTTTTTTTCCCTTTTTTGCTGTGAATATCTTTTAATTTATTTCAATTTTCTAATTTATCGCCATTTTCACATTTATATTTACAATTGCACGAATTATTTACAATAAAAAATTCTTATTATGCTATGATAACAATTTGTGAATGCAAAAACAAAAAATTTTTTAATTTCAGATAAGAAGCAAAAGGTCAACATGAATGAAAAGGAAAAAGTAAAATGGGAGCATTAAGCATTTATTTGTACTATCAAATAAACCAATTTTGGGTTTTATTTTTTTTTAAATATATGCTTTTCCTTTTTTTTTCTTTTACAAATAAATCAATGTTCTTTTATCTCAAAAGCAACATTCTGCACCATCGACGATTAACGGTAAAAATTGAAGATTAAGTGATAGTCTAGAAATGCGAAAGATGATCAAAATAAAGATTTTTTAACATTTTAATCTAGTATAATTGCAATAACCAGTAATTATTTATTGATGATGTAATTGTGATAATCATAGGCTACAATTATAAATGTTATAATTACGATAGTTTTGGAAAGGATAACATCATTTCAACTTTATACTTTATACGCAAATTTAAGGAATGAAAAGATAAATAAGTTACAAAAATAATTAAGCAAGCTGAAATGGGATGAAAAAAAAAAAAATTGAAATGCATTCAGGATTATCGACCAGTGAATATGTGACTTTAATACATCAAAACGGTGATTTGTTCAATTCATTCGCTAATATTGGTCTAATGATAGTATCTGATAAAAAATTTAATATATGTGCAATATTTGGAAGTATTAAAGTAAATGTTACTGAAATGCAATTGGTTAGTTATGCAAATAACAAAAGTCATTTGAAGACGTTCTTGTGAATCTATTTTTTCAGTTAATTTTGCTGTTACATTTCTGCGCTTTTTTTTCTGATCTAATAGATAGCTTAGTATGAGCTTGGATAAACTTGTGAAAAAAAGAAGAAACAAATACTAATCACTTAAAATTAAATTTATGAATGAAATTTTGGCTGTTTTTTAAAATGAATAAAAACATAAGACAGTAGAAGAGATCTATCTTAACTAACGCAATACAAGCTATTTATCAACATATGTTATTCCATTTAAAATTCATCTATTTTTTAACTTAAAAGTTTCAGTTAAAAAAATTATTGCATTAATCAAAGATTTATATGCATGCAAAAGTTGCTAAATTTTAGATAACCTAAAATTGGAAGTAAAGAAATAATAGTTTAAAATTGGAGGAGGAGAAAATAATGGTAATTACTGGGGATAGTTTCATAGATCATGATATTGTAAAGCAAAACAAATCTAAATTTAATATATTGCAAAAGACTCGGTTGTCTCTTGTCATATGAAAGTTTTGAGCAGAAGGAATATACGATTAATTTCATTTTATAAATACTTCATTTAATAGATATTCTATAATTTTATAACTATTTGATTTTCTCAATGCATTTGAAATCTGTTTTGTGTAGACTTCATTTATTTTTTAATTACGCAATGTAAAATAGAAGAAATGTTTAAAATTTGGATCAACAAATTGACTGCTCATAAAATATCTTATTGATTGGTCATTCTTTGATGACTGATAAAAATTATCAGTAATAGAACGATCGCTACATGATATTTTACTTAACCTGTACGATTGATTTCATCGTTGTAACTCCCAAATATTGGTATTTCTATTGAATTGCTATTATCTGTTTCGGTTATCATTTTAATATGCTCTTTGTTTGTTTAAATTACAATCAGATGTTACAAAATAAAAATCTAAAAGTCAAAAGAAGTCATTGCGGCAGAAGAAAGCAAAAAGAAATTTATACAAATAAAAGTTTTAAATTGAAAAATAATAATTGTATAAGAAATAGTGAAATTTGAGTGATTTATGGAATATTGGAATACTATTATGGAAGAATTAATGAAACATAAAGCAATATAATTAATTTGTCTTTTCTCATTACAATTAGCTTAAAAAAAACATTTTATATTCATTCCTATTCTTTGCTAATAACGCCATACACTTCTACTTTAATTGTTCTAATTTGTCTAAGATGAATAATTCATTCCAAATATTTTTATTTACAAAAAAAAAAAAAAAGAAAAACATTTTAACATAAATATATTTATCATTCCTATAAATATACAAAGAAAAAAAGTGTGAAAATAGCGTTTGCGTAAGAAAAAAGAATTGCTTCTTTTTTTTTTTTTTTACTTCACTAAACGATGTAACGAATGCCTTTTGCGCCAAACAAGAAAAATACATTCTTAATATTTTTTAGTTTTTTTTTTTTTTGAACAAGTAATTTTATAATTTTCAGAAGAAATTTATTTTTTTTTTTACAAATTATTTAAATCTTTCGCATAAAATTCTCATTCACTCCTTTACATCCACAGCTACAAATAAACAAACAACCTATGTGACAAAGACCAAAGGTCATCAGTCATTCCTTTATTTACGATCGATCGTTATTTGCTATTGAGCGGTTTTAGTTTTGGATAGATCCTCATCAATATTTATGTTTGAATTTTTAGTCTTTTTTTTTTTTTCAAAAATTCTTAACGTACGCTGGAGAATACTAACGTACGCTGGAGAATACGGAAAATGGAAGCAGGAATTACTGAATCCGAAGTGTATGGTGCTAAATTTTTATTTCTAAAAACTATTCGGATTAGTGTACCATTATGCCTTTATTCTATCACATGTTTTATGTTCCACCCAATTTTTCAATCACTTATCTATCAAAAGGTTAGTTTTTTCATCTTTTCTTGATTGATTTTATCATCCAGAAAGAAAGAAAGAAAGAGAAAAAAACTTAACTGAATTATTTTAATGATATTTGTTGAATAATAGCAAGTGTTTTTCAAATAAAATGTGAGCGTTAATTTAGTAACAATTTATTCAGTGTGATCAATTTCAATGAAATATATTTGGTTCTTTTTATGCATTTCGAAATTACAAGAAAAGTAAACAAAGACAATTCACTGAAACTGACATACTCGATAAATTATTACTAAATTCGTTCTTAAAGGTGATGACAGTTCTTCAAGGTTATATTGTCATGAAGGATGTATTTGAGGATAAATAAATCTGAGATATTTTTGATCACACTAAATTTCAAGATCGTATCATGATTTGACATGACAAACGTGACAACGAAAACCTAGATAGAAACGGAATGGTTCATTAATTAGTTATCACTTGCCATTTTTAGACAATCTTCTAATATATCACATCCTTTTGATCGATTTTCTCTCAATCATATACATTAGAAATAAACAATAATTTTTATCCAGTTTATGGCAGTTAGTTCGTTACATAGAAGATAAAGGCCTGTGAAATAAGATTTCATTTTCAGATCATTTCTTTTTATTATTGCACTTTCATTGCATCATTTTCAGGTATGTTTGCAGTATGGTGATCGAATAGGTGGTGATGCAAACTGTTCACACCCTGAGATTTCATCTAATTCAGAATTTCAAGCAATAGCGAATTGGATAGTCTTGTTAAGGTCCATTTTTTCTTCCTTTTTACTTCTTTTCATAGAAATATGTATGATTTTATTATTTGTTTTATTAAACAAAGTATTATTAAGTCAATAAAGTTAAACTATTTTACATTTAAAAAAAAGCAAAATATTTGCAGGCTCTTTTGACATATGAATTGAATGCTTTTAGGATTATAAGCTACTGAATATTTTTTTTTTATTACTTAAGAAACTTTGCAATAATTTAAAGAAAAAAAAAAGATTTCTGTAGTAGTATTGCGATTTGTTCACTTGGATTTCTTACATCTGCTCTAATTGGACGACTAGGTGATACAAAATCTCGAAAAGCGGCTTTGTTAATACCATTTACTGGACTTGTACTTGAAGGCATCTCACTGGTGGTGCAATCGTATTATATGGAGGTGAGTGATGTGAAATAATCTTCGATATTTCAATAGTTTTTAATACTGCTAAGTTGGTTTAGTCAACGACTGTCAATCAATTATAGCTATTAAATTTTTCTGGTAGTTTAATCTATCGATTTTTATTTCAGCTTTCCGTGTATTGGTTAGTTGGAAGTGAGGCGCTTTTTGCAGCTTTTGGTGGCTATATGTCCATTTTTTCGTCATTTTTTGCTTATGCTACCGATTCTGTACGCAAATATCCGCCTAAATGTCGATCATTAATTATTGCAGTTTTAGAAGGTGTTATTGGATTTGGAGGTGAGAAAGTTCTACCTCTTTAAAATTTCAATTTTAATTCTAATCTAAAATTTTTGCAGGCACAATTGGTTACTTATGCTCATTCTTGTTGAAACTTTGGGGATTTAGTGGTTTGTTTAGAGCATTTCTTGTAATATATTTCACTTGTTTCGTGGCTGTATTTTTCCTTCCATCGATAAATAACAATCAGAGAGAAATAGAATACAAAAAGGATATGTTTGGATTCGATCTAATCGTAAGTTGTTTTTCATCTTTGCTAGAATCGTTCCATTCCTAAATGTCGATTACCAATTATTGTAATTTTGGAAGGTGTTATTGCATTTAAAGGTGAAAAATATTCTGTAATAGAAATAATCGTTTTCATCATTACTGCTGCTTATACTGCTGCTGTGTATATGTTCCTATCGACTATTTCATTTGCAAACTTAATAAACGATATTCCACTTTTTTATTCTATTCAGTTTCTACTTTTAATCCTATTGGAATTAAGATAGCAAAAAGCTATTTGTTCCTTTTAGATTTAAATGGTTGCAATGTCTTTATAAAAGGCAGACAGTGAATTTGTACAACAAAAAAAAGTTTCAATTATTTTCTTATAGTGACTTCAACAATATTTATAATGTACTCAGTTTTATTAGTAGATTGTAGATAGTTGAAAAAGAAATGTCTTTAAGCCATTTCGAATAAAATCAAAGTGGAAATTTGAATGATTTAGGAAGCAATCTATCGCAATTAATCAAAATTGAACAAATGTTTTGATAATGATATCCATTTGGTACTTTTCCAATTTAATTTCCAAAGATAACAGCATGCATTCCAGATCTTAGATAGCTATTGTATGGTATGATAGGTATGAAATGATTGAAGAAATAATTTCATTTTGTGTTCGATGAAAGAATGAATTCATTCATACTCGTTCATTAAATAACCATTCATATGGTAGAAGCAGTTTTTACGAATGCAAAATTACTTGATATTAAGATTGGCAATTGTATTTGAATAGATTGATTTAATGATGAACTAGAAATGATGACAGTTAGCATTATTTTGCTAACGATTTTTCATTACTGAAAGGACTTTAAGTAATTTCTAAAAAGGCATACTCGTTTGACCGAAAATTTAAACACTTTTTACTGCAACTTATTAGATAAGCTAACGTTTATCTATACAATAAAGAATTCAGAAGACCTTCATATCAAAGACTTATCAGAAAATTGTCGGAAGAAGTTGATCTGATGATCAATTTGAAGGTTATCATTGTGGACTGAGATATTTAACATGTGTTAAACTTATGAAAATAAATTGAATTAATGAGCTTGCGGTTCATTTGAAGAGAGCAAGAGTGGTAAATTTATCAATTTGATGAGGTATAAAGTTACAAAATCACTTGTTTATAACAATATCAATTTAACTGAATGATTATTAGTAGAGTAGTTTGATTAATTTATTTAATTTGTACAACTAAAGGTACTCGTAAAGAGATGTAAAATTAGAGGTAAGTGAAACACTAATCATCATATTTGCAGAAATTTTTGTGGCGACAAAAAAGAATTGGCACTTTCTTAGCTTTGATCATTGCCTTCGCTATTTCTTTTTTCACATTTATAGGTCGGTAGTAATTAAAGCTTTTTTTTTTCAAATAGGGTTTATTTCAATTTTGGTTAATAATTAATTCATTTTCCTGGAAATTTAATTCATCTATTAAGTAAAAATTTTTATTTTTTTTTGTTTTTTTTTTTTTCGCTTTTCTAATCCACAATACTCTTAGTGTTATATTCATAGGATCAATAACATATAGATCATTAACTTTTTTGGTTTATATAACATTGCTCGTTGCATTCATTTTCATAGTATCATTCGTGACAAAGAATAAGAGTGAAAATAATAACTGTGAAAAGTTTTTTCATCATCTGATTGTTTTGCGTAATCTTTGATGTTTGTAGGTTCAGTTCACATTTCATTCTATTATCTAAAATTTCGATTTAACTGGGATGCTGGATTGTATGGTTTCCTTAAAGGACCAACACAAGGACTTGCAATGTTAAATGTAATTAGCTTTATGCAATTACTTTAATATGTTGATTTATAAAATAGCAGTTTTTCGTCTATCTAATAAAGTTTTCTTTTACTACTCTTCATATATTCAATAATTTTATAGGTACTATTTGTTTATCCATTATTACGAACACATAATTTTACCGATCGAACGCTTTCTCTTATTGGAGTGATTTCAAGAGCATTGGGTAGATTATGGCTTGGTATTACATGGAGTACACCATCTACATTTTTATGTTAGATATTTTTTCTTTCATTCTAATACTTACAGCACATTTATACCACTACCATATTAAAATGTGCAGTTCTGCAGAAAACGATTCAGTTGGCATAAATTTCAACTAAAGTAGTAGTAGTTTATGGCAAGAGAATCTAAATACTTTATTTTCATCGAAATTTGCACCTTAGTCATTTATCTAGATAAAAAATAAGTAAATATAATACATGTACATGATCAATTTGATAAATTGATGATAGTTCTCATTCCATTTATTCATCCTTCTGATGAAAGAATGACAGTACGATTCTATAATGATGACTTTTCATTAGAGGAAATTAAAATTTTCGAACTTGGTAAAAACTAATCCGCACTTTTTCCAGTGATACTTTTCGATTCATTTACACGTTTTGCTGCTTCTGGTATGAGAGCAATGTCGGCTAACATCGTACCAGTTAACAACCACGGTATGTACTGTCTTTCTAATAGTATTTTTTACAGATGCATCAATAGTAAGGATTTCATAGTATATCCAGAAATTCGGTCAAAATGGTTTATTTTCCCGTGTCCAGGTACATACATATATTTGAACGAAATTTTAATGCGTTATAAAGTTTTATGCCAGATTTGACTAAATTTCTATGAGCGGTCTCGATTGTCATTTTACAAATAAAGTTTGAGATATTCATTTCATAAAATGCCATCTCATATATTATCAAACAGAAAAAATGCAAATAAAGATATATCCAATACTTCTGTCATGAAAAAATACTTCCTTAGTTTGCAAATCATTAATTAAATTTCGAATTTAGGTTCTATGTTTACGTTATTTGCGGTAACAGAAGCATTCAGCAACTTAATGGCTGCCATTGTATTTCATACACTTTTTCCATTATCGCTCGATTTTCTACCCCAATTGTCATTTTACATTCTTGCTGTTATAATGTTAATTCCAACAGCTATACTTTAGTACGTCCACTTTGAATACTTTATTTGGATAGCATCCTAATTTATTCTCGTTTTATACACTTTTTTTTTTTTTTTTTGTAAAATATCAAGCAGAAATCAGTGAATAGTGGGAAAAGAATATTTTGAATGAAATTCAGTTTTTTTTTGGGAAGTTTGAAAATAAAACTCCCATCCAGCTTCTCATTTATTGGAGTGTTTTTAACTTAACACCGTCAGATTTCTCAATAATTTAATTTTCAGTTTATTACCAGAACAACTGGCAAATATCACAGAATAAATCTGATTCAGTTGCAGCAACAAATACAAGCTTCGGAACCAATATTTGAGATTTGTTTATATAACACTCAAGAAAGATCAAGCTTTAAACTTTGATTCAATAAACGGATAAATGGATTGGGAGCTTGACAGGTTTGGAAAGGAAATGTTTAGGAAAACTCACTGGATGTCCTCCCTAACCTTTGCACTATTCTCAGTTTTGATATTTGTATAATATAGAAATACCAAAACTGAGAATATTTTAAAACAAATTATATTTCAATTTCTTCAGAATGTACTGCAGCATATCGGTAACTTCTTTTGTTGTTCACATCCCTTAATCGCATTACATATTGAAACATAACTTTAATATATTAAAAACTATCATGAATGCCCCAACCATAAAATGATTAATTGTCTGTAATCTCTTTCAAGTCAACAAAAATTCAAAAATTAAAGCAAATCTTAAACTAAAGTCTCCAAATTATACAAACACAAAAGAATCAATCATGCAAAATAGACTTTATTCCCTTGCTTGTTAAAATAAAAAAAGCATATCAAGTCATATCTAAATAACTGAGAACAACGACACAGCTTCGCCTCAGATACAAAAGTAAACAAAGTGCTAGAAAATGAAATAGCAGGATGAAGCGATTGAATTAAATCTTTCCAAATGTGGACTATGGAAGAGGAAAAAGCGATCTACGCTTACTTCCCGTTACATGAAACAGCACCTCTTATGAAATCTGTTGTTAGTCTATGGCAAAAAATTTTTTTCAAAATGTTTTCCGATAGAAACTTTACAAAAGTGTAAACGTCCGTGACTGGTTTGAAACTTCTTCCGTCTAACATCCTCTGTGCCTTCTACAGTAATTTCACTGAATGATATGTTATGCTAACATGTGTAAGAAATCACGCATTACAACAGCGAGGTACAACTGAGTAGTTGGTAAAGAAAGCAAAACCACAAATCACACCAGTTTTTTTACAGCATTAATGGTCTGTTATTTATATGGTAAAGTTTTGCAAAATTTCAAATTCGTTTTTTAAATAACAAAAAAACCTTTAGTTCCTTTCAACAATTTTTGATCTATTAAGATTTATGCTAAATCAATGAAAATCATGAATGAAACACTGGAACTACAAATGTTACATTATTCAAGGAGCGAATAATCTGCATAGAAATGAAGTAATGAATTAAATCTCTCTAGAAGTATTTACACCAAGAAATTTTATTTAGGAAAGTGCTGTGTGCTTTTTCTAATCACTAATCATTAAGACGAGATTTATGAAGGTCAGAGGAATAAATGGCGGGCAAAAGTGGAATCGAAAAAAAAGAACAAAAGATGAAGACATCATTGGTACATGGCATGCTTCGACTTACTTCTTTTTCTGAATTCCACCAGTTGCTGCACCAGCCGCTCGCTGTGGCGATGTAATTGGACGACCACTGTTCAAACCAGCGTACTGATATTTGGCCTTCTTCTCGGATGGCTTTAAGATCTGAAGAATGAACGAATCAAAGTGTTGAAAGCAAACAAGGCAACGGAATTCAAATGAATTATATGTATCTGTAAAGTACGAATCTCAGGCTTAATAAATTAAGTACGAAAAATGTAGAAAACAGACACAACTGACTTTTTAGCACTACGGATGATGCACTTAAGATGAAGTGTTTGGAAGCAAAACCATCTGCACATGATGTATGAACAATATTTTTTCATTACGAATATCAGTGGTAAGCAATACGGTCACAATGTATTGAAGTCTATTTTATATTTATTAGTACAATCCGTTTGTCTTGTCTTACGCGGCAGCAAAAATAGTGCGTTACTGCATAAACCAATGAGGATAAGCTATAATTCAACTTAGCTATTCTGTGCGCTATGTCGGCACTATTTGGCTACCGGTTTTACAGCCTTTTAATGCTGTTATAATAAAGACATAGTGTAAGAGAAGGACTGCAATGATATATATGATAATAGTAAGATGTATAGAAATTACAACAGAAAAAGTATATATTCAATACAGTTATGATTCCTTATAATTACTCTTTGGATTCATAACTTATAACATCTTTTGAGCACAAAATATACGAGAGAAAATCTTCAATCAAAAGCAAAGAAAACAGAAATTTTTTGCTCGACCAACATGTCACAAATTAAAATCAGATGAGGACTGAAAGTTTATTAAAATTTTATGATAAAGACCATACAATAACTCATATACTAATAAATCCAATAAATCATAACAACATTAAACTCCAAAAACAAACCTGAAAGGAACACATTAGTGTTTCATCAACGCTCATCATACCACCTGCATTATCGAACTCACCACAATAATTTGGGGCCGAAAATAATGTTACAAGTTGACGTTTGGCAAAAAATTCGTAGCCATCTTCTACTACCTAAGAATATAACTTTTCCAATAAATTTTAAAATTGCGCTCTAACCCAAAAAATTATTTGAAACAACTTTTAAAAAAATAAATTACGAAAACTGAAAAAACGTATTCAGAAAATATTTAACTTCACCACTGATTATTCCCGTTTGTCACTAACAATCACTAATTCAACACTAAAAATTTTTCAATTTGAATGTACCAGTCTAAAGAACAGCCACGACAAAATAAATGATGACTAGGATTACCTGATGTGCCCGACATATTAAGTCTAAATCATGACGATTTAAGAATTTTGCTACAACGTCAGGCCCAAATGTAAACGATACTCCTCGATCGTTTTCTCCCCAACCTTGCACATCCTTGTCCGGGTCAGACCATAACAAATCACAGAGAAGACCTGCAATAGAAAATTCTTATTATTGTATTCCGGTGACTAATCAAAGATTTGGGATTTAATCATTTTTGAATCCGAGATCAAAAAGTACATCAGTAAAAGCAAAAATGATAAGATACAAAAATGGAAGGAATCTAAAGTGAAAAAGCAATACCAGTATCTGGAACATCCGTTGGTCGCATTATTCTTCGGATCTGTTCCATATTTTGTAGATCAGGAGAAAGTCCTCCATGACAACAGAAGATTTTTTCATCTATGAGGGCGGCTATTGGTAGGCAATTGAAACAATCAGTGAATGTTTTCCATAGCTTTATCGAAAATCGACGTTTGCCTATAACTCTTAAGATAAAACAAATATCACACTGAGGTTCCACCTTAAAATCAGCAAATTATTGCAAATGAAAATGACAAATCTTACATTCGTCATAAAATCCATAAATACGATTAATACTAGCACATTCATGATTTCCTCGTAACAAAAAGAAATTTTCGGGATATTTCACCTTATACGCCAGCAGTAAGCATATTGTCTGTAAACATTCTGATTAAACATGCCACAGTGCAATTTTTTCATAGCAGTGAGAGCAACTATTCAGATATAATAAGTGCTATTTGCATTTAAAATCATGGTGAAAAAGAATATTTCATCAAATTTGGATAAGTTGCTGGGAGAATTATAAGAATTTGCAAATCTAAAAGAAAAAACTATGACGAAAGAGTCAACAGCAGAAACATTTAGAAATTATTACAAAGCCCCAAAAAACACTGCTAATAAAATTATAAAAAAAGAAAATTTTTTAAATTATAAAAAAGAGAAAAGAAAGAAAACAAATATATATATATATATATATATATTCGAAGCATTCGTTACAAAACCTCCAAGCTTTGCTTTCCCCGATCAACATAATCTCCAAGAAAAAGATAATTTGCCTCCGGCGGAAATCCACCATATTCAAATAATCGTAATAAATCATTGTATTGTCCGTGAATATCTCCTATAAAACAAATTAACTGAAGCTAGTGTTTAAAGCAGCAGATTTCAAAAGATCCTCAAAAACTTGAGCAACTTTAAAGAACATTCCTGCGAATCAGACTTTTACTACTTGCATTTTTGAAAATGAAATAAAGAAATTTAATGTAGTAAAAGCGTACATAAATGTAAAATTCGTAACCATAAACCATATGCGTTTTTCAACTAGATAAGATGAGCTGATAATATACATTGAATCAAGAAGAAAAAACCAACCACAAATTTTGAGAGGCGCCTCGAGTTCCAAAAGAATGGGCTGTGACAAAAAGATATCCCTGCTTTTATGACAAAGTGCCCTTATTTCATTTTCCGACATCTGGACAGTTTTCCCGGGCCGACATCCGCGAACTGAAATGTGAGTATGTGATGTTCTCATTAATACTGATTATTTGGAACTCAACAAACCATTCAGTTTTTACATAAAAACAAAAATAATTCGTGTTTGGTAAAAAGCAAGCAGCTACTTATCCACCTATTATGCAGTAGCGAACTTTGTTCCGTTACCTATATGCAAGAATTTTCTCAAAAATCAAGTTTGATAGAAAGAACCAATTCAGACATCATAGTTAATTCGAAATAATCAGTTCAGTCCCAAATAATGAGAGTAGCTTAGTCTTTTAGGAATTAAAATTTTCCAGTAAATAATGGAGAAACAACAAAAGTTTTTATTGAGAATGGAAATTTCATTAATAATTGATATTTTGAGCAACAGAAATAGAAAAACTGCAGGGAAAAAGCTACTTATGGCAAAAATTACATTAAAAGAATTGAAAGTAATTTCATCACTGAAAAAACAAAATTAATAAGTATGAGTGTAATAAAAATCATTTAACATCAGGAATGATCACCAATTTCCATTTCTTCTCAGTGCATGAAAGAGAAGAAAAAAGTATGATACACATTCATAAACTGAAATATTCTTTCCAGTTGCACATTTATCACTGAATAGGTAAATTAACTGTTGCTGATCAAAATGAAAGTAATTAAATGTTATAACATACCTTCTAAAAGTCGAGTAATAAGATGGTCAACATTGAGGTCACTGTCACTGGCCATAACTGTGAACACACTATAGCTGCTGTCCGTAGATAAGCAAGATTACTTGCCTAATATTATACCTAAAATTAATTAACTTGCAAATATGGACATATCCAATACTCAATACTAAAGTATAACATAAAATGTTAGAAAACATTCACTGATAATACGTGGAAAAGATATATTAAGCATACGCATGTTATTATATTAATTCAATAAAACACGTACGTAAGCACTCATTCAGCTCAATTTAAAATTAGTTTGTCCCAAAACATAAATAACCCCACGCAAACAATTCCATTCTATAAACTTTAAATGATTACTAAAACTGGCTAAACATCAAAAATTTTTTAAATGGTTTACGTTAATTATCATGTCAAGATCAATGTCCGATGTTGCAGCTCAATAATATTAAGGGATCAATTAAGAAAAATGAAAGTGGTCTGGTTCTTACTAATTAATTAATTAGTAGGACTGAACTAACCAATGATCAGTTGGCATTTTGATAGCTTTCTTTTATGATTCACATGATAACATAATTGTTGGATATTGATGATAATTATTAGAATAGTAATTAAACATTGAGTGAAAAGTTTATAAATTATGCGTCAAACATGCGTCTCTTTTTTCTTCCCTTTGCTTTCTCCTCAATTCATTCTAATGCGTTTTCACGTAACGTACGGTACCATATTGTAAAAGAAAGAGTAATAAACGTATACATTATCTCATCTTTTTTCATATACACCATAAAGTTTCGGCGCAAATTAAAGCAAATTCAATTAAATTTCCAATATTACTAAATGTTTTTATTTAGTAGTGGAACTATTTTGTTTGATTTTCATTTTGATAACAACAATAGCCGTGTGTGTGTGTGTGTGTGCCTGTGTGTGCGTGTGTGTGTGTGTGTGTACCTATGTATGTATATGTGTACGTGTGTGTGTGTGTGTGTGTGTGTGTGTTTTAGAGCACACACAGCTACGAATTTCGATGGGAAATGAATGTGTTCGATGCAAATACGCATGCATATCGATCTTCTTTTATATTGCACTCTGAGAAAGATTACTTCTTGCATAATTTTTTTTTTTAATCATAGTATCAGTTTTGATATATAATTAACAATTCATCGGTAATATCTATTAAGTTAGCTTATCAATTTCTTAACTGATAAAAGTCTCATATTAAAAATGTAATGACTTACACAAGGATTCGTTCAGTTTTCCTTGTTTAAGCATTCTTATTATTCCTTTCTTGAGGCTATCATATTGGATTTCATCTGTTGTATTATACTTTAAAGCAAGTTACTTCTTATAGGATTCTTTTTTGTCATTCTGAAATACAAAAAAATTTATTTCATCAGAAATTCTCGAATTTTCCATTTTCCATTCAAATGAGACTCTCTTTTTGTCATTTGCACATTATCCTAAATTATAGGCCTTGATCAATGGTCAATGAACCCAAGGCCGCGCAAGAACATACGATTGATTTATTGCGCCCTTTTCTTCCTTCTGTTATGCCTTCCGTTGTTGTTAGTAACCATCGACCAATCCCTCAAATTCGATAAAAATATACTCTCTTTATTTATTATCGATGAATGGTGGCACACTCAGAAAAAGGATCATTTCATTTCATTTTTTTTGGCCCATTTTCCATCTATTGATTCATTTACTTCTCCTACTTCTCTTTATCCTAGGAAATCTAAAATTTTGTAAATTGACATTTAATAGTCACTTTTTGCTAATCAAAAAGGATTATTTGTATTATTTCATTCCGGTCGCTTCCATTATTTCTTTTTTGCGCTAAAATATACTTATCAATCCAGAATAATTGCCATTTTTCGATGGGTCAAGATTTCTACTTTATCTGAAGGATGACCTCTTATTAGACATAAGAGGATAACAGTCTTCAACTGTCCTTTTGCATTTAATACACAATTTCCTTGGTATGATATCTTCTACCATATAGCATAATGAAAGATGTCTAATATTCTCGGAATGAAAAGATTTGATAGTACAAGTTTTTTCAGAATTCATAACCGAGCATAATTTTGAAGAAAATTCAACTGTATCATTCTTATTAGCAATTGTCTTCATCATTGCCATTATCATTATCCCTCTAATTATTGATTAATTTTTATTTATTTATTTATTTTATCATTTGTTTATTATTTCATCGTTTATTTATTACTTCTATCTATTTATTATTAGTTGATTATTCATTTATTATTCATTTAGTAATTTATTTATTTATTTGTTTTCTATTATTTATTAATTATTCACTTGTCATTTGTTTGTTTATTTTATTATTATTATTTATTAATATTTATTGTCATTTATTGTTATTCATTATTTGTTATTATTGTTGCTTTTATTACTATTATTATGAATTATTATTAATAATTGTAATCTTCCATATAAAAACTGTAATCAGTTAATCAATTTCTGCAAGTAACATTACAAGCACTAATTGATAGTTATTATTAACAACTATTCAAATTCTAAAGAAAAATTGAAAAATCATTTACTCACGATATATTTTTTGGTAAGTCTCGATGCATTACTGATATTTTTTATGATTAATCACTTCTAGATGAGACTCAAAATTAGCTAGTTATGGATGGAAGATTTATGCACGATTGTGAACGTTTATATGACCGTTATAGGATATACTTATGTAAAAGAATGTTTCATTTATGGACAACCATTTTAAAATTTGAAATTCTCAATGAGGAGAGAAAATTTTGAGACTTGTCATGAATCTTATAACGATGAAAAAGAAATCGAAACTAATTAAAAAAATATTCGGCTTTCATTTATTATCTATCTGTTGGAAATTGCTGAGGCATAAGTTGAAAGAATAAAAATAAAGATTGGAAGGAAAGATTGTCAGCAGATGTCATTTACAGAATTCATTATCTTTATTTAGACTGTCTTTTAAATGCTGCAGTTTTGAAGTGATTGTCAAAGAGATTTCTCTTTATCTATCTTTTCACCTATCATTGTATCATTTTAAATATTTTCCATCGTCTTCAAATCGTAGCGCTGGGACTGATCAAAAATCAGATGAATGACAAAAAATAGAAAAAAAAAAAAAGAAAAGAAATAACTTCGAATACTAAATTGTTACTACTGGAAAGATCAAGTATACTTTATTAAAGTTTCTAAATTTCGATTCTCCTAAAATGATCACTAAATATCTGTGCTTTCTCAAATGTAATTTGAAAATTTTTTTTTAAAAAAGGCCAGTAGACACAGATGAATCAGTAAGTAATTAAATCCTTTTTTCCGACATATCGATTTTATTCAAATCTAATATGTTGCACAAATTTTCATCTTCTGATGATGTTGACTATCTTCTCGTCATTGAATGTTAAAAGGGATTAAATTATGAAACCCTTAACTACTAATAAATTATCTTAGAGCAATGAAAAACATGTACATTATGGATTTTTCTATTTTTGAAAAAGTAAATACATATTTTACTTGACGGTTACGGTTGAGTTAATGAGTTGAAAGAAAGGATCCTGAAATTGTAATAGATGTAAGATGTAATTTGGTATCAAAACTTAGATAAATTAATAGGTTTTGAATTAGCTGTAATTATAAGCCGCTTTTAGTTCTCAAAAATATCTCTCAAAAAGTGCAAATTTATTGCTTAAACAACTATCATTCATTAAAATTACTATTACTGATCGTTTCAAAATACACTTAGCCTTAGTTAAAGTTCTACAATAAAATTGCTTGCTGGAATTCAAATCTAAAAAACCTAGTTGTCAATTGAAGATTTCAAAAATGTTTGAATTCCAAGATAGCTTATTAATTTTTAGATTTCGAAAAGTTTTTTTTTTTTTTTTCATTTTTAAAGACTTATGATAGTGGAGTTATTATAATGATTTGGAATGTTTTCGCAAGAATCACTGCATTTAAAAATCCCAAAATGTTAAAATATTGAAAATCATGAAAAAAAAAAATTTGTCAAAAGAATAAAACGAAATGTAGGAGAGAGAAGACTAAAAGCATTAACATTTCTTTTCTGTCATACTACTATTTACAATTGATTCTAACCACATTTTCTTTGAGAATTCTTTCACTTTTGAACAAATACGAATTTATACAAAAGATGACTCATCCTACAGTTTCCTTATGTTACAAATAACATTCAATTTCCTTTCGATGCTCTTTTCATGTTCACTCAAAAATTCCATATAATTTTTGAATTTTATTTCAAAATTTATTTATTTAAAAAAAAAACATTTCTCATTTGCAGCATAAAAAGTATACACTTTCAACTGTCATCAGTAAAAACAGGGGATGCTATAGCTGAGAGGTGAGGAAGAGAGAGAAAGAGAAAAGTGGACAAAATGTTCTTTTTAAAAAGACTGTTGGGTGCTGGTGCGGATAATATAGCAAAGAGTTGTGTGAATGACATTCTGAGATCGTAGGTCCACTTTATTCTAACGTTCCATCCAGTCAACCTTTCCTCACAACCAGGTAACCAACCAATCCAATCCAATTCAATTCGTCTAATAATAATTAAATAATAATACTAATATGCTTAATAACTTAACAATAAATAATAATTCTAATTAATAATAATAATAATAATAATAATAATAATAATAAAATTTTATATTAAAGTATTAGTTTAGCAATTTTATATTAATTTTATCATATTAAAGTATTAGTTTTAGCAATTTTATATTAAAGTATTAGTTTATATTAGAATAAAGAATTGTAAATTCTTTGGATTTTACTTTGTTTTTTTTTTTTTTTTTACTATATTGGTATTTTCTTTATAATTATTTTTATTTTACGGGCTGTTGCTTTTTTAACTTTAATAGAACGTCATTTTTTAGGTGGAACTCAATGTCGTATTGGTCCTAATAAAGTTGGTTATTCTGGTGTTTTTCAAGCATTATTTGATGGTCTTAAGTTATTAAAGAAGGAACAACTTTTTTTTTTTATTTCTCTTCTTGATTATCTTTTTTATTGATGCCTATTTGTGGTTTTATTTTGATGATTTTTTTTTGGTTTACTTTCCCTCTTTATTATTATTATTTTTAATAATAATAATAATAATTAAACAATAATTTGGTTTTCATATGTATTTTATATATTTAATAATTATTAGCAACACTGTCCTGTTACTTTCATGCATAATTCTCAGTTTTAAATCAGTTGTATTTTCATCATTTCGTTTTCAGTGAGAATTTTTCATGAAGAATTTTTCGTATATGCATAATCTGAGTATTTTTATGAGGTGAAAATGCAATTGATGAATGGGGGAGAGGGAAAAGAGAAGAAAGAAATGTTAAAGTTGGAAGTAATAAATTTATATCGAAATTTCTTAGAATCAGTGGATATGATTAAAAATTTCTCCAAATTGGTCGATATTAAGAATAAACAAATAATGTCACATCAGTTTTACATCAGTTTTAAATTTTATCCCATTAATATAATCGTATTGTACAGCGCAAATAGGAAATATTTCCAGCAATGTTCAAAATTATTTGTTTAGTAGAACAGCTGTTAATAGAAATAGGTAGGAAGGAGATTGCTCATTGACCAAACATCAACAAATATTAATTATTCTTATCGCTATAAGTAACTAGTCCTCAGTTAATATTTAGAAATTTGAACTGATTAGGATGAGTAAAGACAGAGAAAAAGATTAAATAAATGATGATAATATCTTTTTTTTTGAACTTTCAAATTGTATTAATAATATAAATAATAGTAATAGTGCTGGCGGAAATGTCATTGATTGTAGTGATCGTAGTGATCATCCTTTCAACCATTTCGTACATTTCGAATTTCCTCGTTCATTCATGATTTCTGTGACGGAAGATTCCTTGCTATTCTTTTCTTATTGATAACTAAATTTGTTTGCAACTATCGTTTTATCAATAAACTTACAATTTCTCCTTTTTTTCCTTTTTTTTTTGCTTAATAATTAGAAGATAAGACATATTTTGACAAAATATAAGTGTCTCATTTTGTTAAAAGATAAGATAAAATAAGAGTCTAATTTTTGATAAAAGTTGCCAGTATATTTTGTTTTTTTTTTTTTTTTTGTTTAGGCTCTTATTTTTTTTTTAACTCAGAGCTTAAATTATCGGTCGATATTGTAGCGCTAATATTAATTTGCTTAGACTCTTATTTTGAGTTAGAGATTAAATTATCGATTAGTATTTTTACAACATTCTCATTTCATTTGAAAAAAAAAAAAAAAAAAAAATAGAATTTAAAGAAGAAATCTCTACGCTATATTATACTTTCATTTTTTCGTCACCTATTCATGTACTCTCGATCTACTACTCAAAATGTCAAAATGCAAGACTTCTAATTTCTGATTTTTGGTTTTATTCTATAAGAAATCGATAGGAATCGATCATTTATTATATTTGTTAAATGTGAAAATTCTGATGCGATATTGTGATATGATTTTATAATCGGTGTGTTCACTGAAGTATTTATTATCTTTGCTCATTGATTATTTTCTCTTTTTTTTTCTATCATTAGAAGAAATCTGCATTATTCATGAGATGTACTGTATGTACATTTGTCGATAATTGATGGAATCGATGCATAATTTCTTCCTGAATTTGTATAATTTCTTCCTGAATTGAACTGTTTGTCACTTGTTTCGGTTTACTTTTCGCTGAGTAGGTTGCAACATTCTATGAATGTTAATTAATTGTTTCATTTGTCTGTTAATTCTATGTCACATCTTTAGCAGTATTATAGATGTTATTATCACATTATTAATATTTCACTGATTTAATATCGTAAATATCATCATCATTCTTTGATGTTGCTGTTTTTGAATAAGTACTTTGTTTTTATCCATATGCCTAAAGTAATTGAAATGAGCTTGCAAACTTTGTTTTCCATCTTTGGATCAAAGATTGAGATCAAAAACCTCAACTGAGGACATTTATTTCTCTAAGTTTCTCTAACTTTCTCGAAATATTGATTACCTGCAATTCTAACCAATTAACTAACACTAATTATTATGTGTACATACATATAGTTAACTCACTAATTATCTCCTTTTCAAGTACCATTCAAAGATATCCACCAAAACATCTAAAAATTCCCCACTAAATTAGACATCCCATCCCATCCATCTACCCATCCAACCACCCATCCTCTCGCATTCTTTTTTTGAGGAATGATTGAATTGGAAGAGTATCGTCATCAGTAGTTGTTAGTACAGTCAGAGGAGTTGGGCGTCACATTTACGTTTCCCTTACTACTGACTATACTTTCATATTTTTTTTTCATTTCTAAGAATTACATATTTCCTTTATTCTATCCTCGACAATTGATAGGATTTTAATTCGAGATACATTCATTGTTAGAAAAATTAATTCCAATTTGAATTACTTATATTAATTGGAATTATCATATGGATAACAATAATTCATTGTACATTTTATGTTTTGTTTATGATATTGTAGAAATATAAAAGATTTTGTTTCTCTTTTGATCATCTATTCCGCTTAAATTATTATGAAAGTAATAGTTTTAATATTAATTATGGTTTTTCTTATTATTACAAGATATTATTGTAGATATTGTCATCTTAATTTGTTATATTATTACCGTAGTAATAATATAATATTCTTATAACTAATTAGTCGTTTATTTTCATAATGTTACCTTTCATTTAGCATATTTTTGATTCACTTTTCATATAATTCTATCCATTAATAGTGGGATTTATTTCCATTTTTCAACGTAAATAGTAAAGTTCTATGTGCGAATATTCACCCATTTGTTACTACACTTTGTAAAGTAATATGGAATAAAAATAAATGATTTATTTCCACAATAATATCAATTTTCAGGTTATGGCAGATCTTCAAAAACATTTACAAACGTTACGTAAGCAGCTGGATGACAGCATCAGATTATATTGCCAACAACAACAACAAGCTGCGATGAATCGAAGCAATCGCAGTGGTCGATCATCATCATCGGTCACTGTGAAGAGTCGTCGGACATTGCATATGTTGCATCAAGATGAAACTAGTGCTTGCATACAAATATCGGTGAATTTTTAAATTTTACTTTCAAATGTTTTATATTAGCTCTTACCAAGTTAGATTAGTTTTAAATTTTCAGGAAATCCATCAACTTTCCTTTCTTGCTGCTATAAATAGTATATTGTATATGCTACATCAAAAAGAAATAAACATTTGATTGTAAAGATGGCAGCAAACATTAGCTCAGTACATTTGAATCGGTTAATATACCATATGAAGGACTATTGATTAACATATTTGTGTAGTAAAGTGTAAATAAACATCATATCTTTGCAGAATTAATGAGTTGGCTTATTTCATTTATGTAGAGCTCTTTTTTATGGATTATTTTTTTTTGTTAATTACTACATACCGACGTTTAAGACAGAAAGAAAATGCTTAAGAAATGCCTTTGATGTGTTAGAATTGAAAGGTTGGATAAACTTGTCACTGATCATTTTTCTTGAAATAGTATTATTGAAGACGAAAATAAAACAAAATTATTATTTAATGAGGAAAGAATATGATTCTATATCGTAAGTTAAGTTTACTGACTACTCATACTTTACTCATCTTTCTTTCTTCTTCCCCTCCTCTCTCTTTTTCTCTCTGTCTTTCCTCCATTAAGCTGCAAATGATAAAGAAAATGATTGCATTAAAAATAGTGAGATGAAGATGAAGTACTGATGGATCAATTTCATTTCATAAAGATAGATAGTTCTTTGCTATCTTTCATTCCCTTTATATATATATCAAAATTACTGCTAATTGTGCCACCGCCTATCACTGCCACTTGTCGACTGTTGCTTATTTAATGTTTGCTCCGTGTAATCCTTCCATATTTATTTGTTTTTTCATCTTTCTTGAAGTATTATTTATTGAACTTTATATCTATTAGAGAGGGAGGGAGAGAGAAGAAAAGAAAAGAGAGAGGAACCTGTTGAAGATTATACAGTATCTGCAGATGATAGTAAAAACTGTCTACTTCATATCTACCGCATTCCGGGTCGTGGATTGTTCCTTGAAATAGGAGGAAAATAAGATTTTTGATGATAAAATTATGGAAGGCAAAAAATAGTGGAAGAATGGTATGTTAGTTGTGCTTTGTCATAGAAGAATTCTTTTTTATTTGATGCGATATTTCGATGTCATATAATTGCACCATAATAGATGGTTGGTTGATGCGCAATGCTCTCTCAATGTCTCATAAGGCGCAATATAGGAAATAAGCGCAGCAGTACGTTTCACTTATATTGCTTTTCTTATCGATATTTTCAAACAGATGGCCTTAGTTTATGTGGTGTGATTATCGTAAACCTTCACTTTTTGTTGTTTGAAGCAATTTTTCCTTTTTTTTTTTTTTTTGCAAAGGAAATTCTCCTATGTGAAAGGAATTGGAAAAAAGTCCCCTGTCTCTCTCTCTCTCTGTCTCCTCTTTAGGTGCCTCTTTTCCTTTCGGGAAATATCCACTATCTCTTAGCGGGATGTTTTCTCATTTGTCTTTCTCCTTATACTGATGACTGAATCAAAATGATGCAACAATTCATCATCATATTTATCAATGAATGAGAGATATTGGTCTCTGTTCTTCTGTCAATACTTGATGAGAGCAGCAGTTGTCTGATGGCTTTCTGTATTTTTCTCATTCCAACTGTCATTGGTCTTTTGTATAACATTGAAATATACTGGAATGAATTATGAAGTTGTATGTTCTGACAGACTAATTAGTTTAACGATTATTACACTAATATCAATAATAAGATAATAGGTAGCAACTGTGTTAGTATATGTCATAAGAATTATTTACTAATTATAAAGTTGCTGAAATAAAATCGGGATTCGTTTAAACTTTATTGTTTTGCTTAAATACATCAGATAATGCATGTATTTTCATAAGTACAAGTAATGATTCAAATGCATATATCGCATATGAGTAATTACATTTGAGTTAATCAAATTTTTATAGGGAAGTATGACAAAGAAGACTTTCAATGCAGCAGTTACGAAAATACCAAACAACGATTCTGAGGTATTTGAGAAAGTCGATTCGGTTGCTAAGTTGGCTGTATCACCATTGCAAGTCATTGTTAATTCTGGCAATCATCAGCAACAGCATTCCGCCACTGAAGCAACAATTAATTTCATGGCTGGGTATGTCCACTGATTTTTAGAGGTGAAATTCGCTGATATGATTAGAGGTGTCAATTAATGTCAATTAAACATATACTGTCATCAAACTTTTCAGAACTTTACGGCTAACAATAATCGTTATTCTAATGTTGGTTAAAATTTAAAAGAATTTGTGATTACTTTAAAAAGTAGCTTATTCCGTTTCAATAATTTATCTATTTATTGCTTATTTTTTAACTTTTAGAAACTTTCAATGATTAAAAAATTTCTTTTTTTTTTTTCAATAACAACTGTTGGAAAAGGGCAATTTTTTCTCCTTTTTGCAAGGTTGTCTTTTAATTGATGTGATCTCTTGCAAGCGATTGTAAAAATTAATGCGGGTTTTTTTCCCACATAATATACTTCCATCCATTGAAATTGAAAAAGGGAGCACAAATCACCTTTAAATGATAAAAAAAAAAAAATGCTTTTATTGATCTTACAGTCATTTCCTAATTTTTGATTCACACAACACTTTTTTCACTGCGATTGATTTTCTATTCCAAAGTAATTGTTAAGATTTCTTCAGATTTAACAGTCCAGTAGGTAGCATCGATTCGGGCATGTCATCACTTAGTTCATCGAACAGTTCACCTGCCTCATCACCTGGATGCTCACCAATTTCAATCAGCAATGTTCCTTTCCAATACGGTAAGTACTTGGAAATGGATGCTTTCAGACTTGAATTTAATAAGTCATAAATTTGCTACGAGCTTTCGAATTATGCCATAAAACAGGTTTCTATCTTGATGGTTATTACTTTAAGTTTTTAATTTATCGACTAACTTGAATAAATTTTAAAAAAAATGAATTTATATTGCTAATTTCGGTTCTAGTCGTCGAACAACAAGTGATACCACGTGGCCGATCGACAAGTGAAAGCGTAACAAATGGTCTGAAAAGTATCCTGAAAAAATCCACTACATTACATATCACTGCCGGACGTTTTCTAAGGTTTCATTTCTTTCATGTTTTAAGCTACGGTAATATTTTTCAGTATATTCATATCATACATTATATTCATATCATGTAATAAAGTGGTTCTTTTCTTTGAATAAGAATTGTCTTCCACTAAATTTTTGTTTTATTGCTCTTACTTCCATCTTTTATGGTCCAACTTTCATTGATTCCCTCGGGCTACAAAAACTCAACAATGAAATGAAAAATGCAGGTATTGTTTTTAAGCGGCTTGCTATTGATGAATGGCGTGTATCTAAGTTGAACATGCGGCGATAATTTTGCTCAATTATCCACAAGCTCATCTCATTTGTCTCTAGTGTGCTATACAACAATAAATTGACAATAATTTTTTTTTTGAATTCCATGTTTTTTCTTTCTTAAAATTTTTATGCATATCTACTTCTATTTTTAAGTTTCATTTTATGCTTTTTTTTTCAGTAGAAATCTATTCGTAACGGTGTTAGTATATTATTCATAGCTTTCATCATTGCACTATAGTAATTACACTTTATATCGAAATGCCATGTTTGAAAGTGGTCATTATGACGATTTGTGAATGAGAGTATGTGCAGAGAGGGAGAGAGAGGGTTGCATGGATGGATTATTTTATGCTAATTCCATCTCAGTTAATTGTATATATTAAAATAATTAGATACTATCCGTAGAGTTTCTTTATCATTTTTTTTTTTGCATTATTTAGAAAAAACTACCATTCTAAATTTTCTTTATTTAAATACAATAAACATTCTAATCAAGCAGTATTATCAAGCCAGTTTTTATCAGTCTTTTTTAACTGTAAAATTGCGTTGATCATCCTTACATCATAATGATGACAAAAATCATAAATGAGAAAATTTCAATAGTAAACCTTCTTATCGATGAGGTTTTCATAGAACAAAGTGTGAGAAAAGTGATTGTAGAAGATGGCTGTGAGAGCAGCTATATGATATCCACAAATCATTGTAATATCTATATCAAAAAACAGTACTCTAACAAAAAAAATGTGATTTAGTATTACGATTTTAATTAAGACAGGATTTTAGATCGTATTCCGAATGTGAAAGTAGAGAGGTTGAAGAAATGAAAGTGACTGTTGCAGACATGAATAATGACAATAACTCAGGTTTTTTATTTATTTTTTTTTATATTTCTTTTTTTATTCTACTATTATTTCTAATAGGATTTGGTGTTTTTTTTTTTTTCTTTTGAATTTTGGCAAAATTTTTTTTAAGGAATGTAAATATTTATATTACAGGTGTAGATTCACGAAAGAAGCGTGTATCATTCAGTGAACGTTTAGTGCAAGAGCGATCATTCCGGCCTAATTCATCTATTTTAAGTCAAAAGAAAAAGAACCAACGAAAGCACAAAAATAAAATGAAAAAGAAAGGCAGTGTAACTACTTCGGAAGATAATTCGACGGATGATGAAGCACGACATCGTTCAAATCCTGAAACGGTAACTTCATTAAGTTTTCTAATTCTTTTTCTTTTTTTCTAGTTAGAAGAACTGCAACATTCACTCCATTATTCCGTTATGCTATCTTTTTTCCTGGACAGTTTCCTATTTGAATCTTTTTGAAATGCGACTAAATTTTTATTAATTAAAATATTGCTCCTAGATACTCTACGCTACTTGCAATGACAACAATGAGGACGAAATGGATCGTAAGTTTTTTGTCAAATATTTTTTTTTTTTTTTGGTAAATTGAATTGCAAATCTAAAGTGCATACATTGAACGCACTTATTTTTGATTTAACAAATTGATAATGCAAGATTTCTGGTTTCATTTAGTAAATTATTGGTCTCTGGTTTCAGCAATTGAATGTGATTTAGCCGCATGCGTTTTAGAAGATTCTGTGGTCGTAGTTGAACAAGACAAAAAGACTGATTGTCATGAGACTACAAAAATTCATAAGCATATCCTACGAATCGGTTCCGATTAAAAGCGTTGTGTTTATTTAGCTGTTAATGATAATGTTAATGCTAGCTGTGAAACATGTTCATTCTGTAATATTTTTAGATTATAAAGTTTGCTCTTTTTTTCTAATTCAGAAAAGATATTTTTCTATCTCATTTCATAAGTTTTATAAAGATTTCCAATTTTTGCTAATTTAAGCTCAAATCAGGTCATTGGTTTTATCCGACTAACCGTGTATTTTCAGCAGCTTGATATAGCAATGGGATTTGACACAGATTCTTTTTTTCCTGATCCCTAATTCCATTTCTTTAAAAAAATAATCTTAAAGAAAATTCGAAACAATAATTTTTGACAAATCTAATGCAAGATTATGCCAATCAATCTTTCAAGACTAATAACGGATGAGTGAGTGAATTAATAGCTTAAAATTGTTAATGTAGTGTAATTATAATAGTGCAGAATAAGTTAAACAAATGCAACCAACTGACCGGACTGATAGTTTAAGGACTATTCTCGAATTTCATTTATTCCCATCTGCTGTCATCCTTGATGCACGACATCAACAGTCGGCATGCCATTTGACTATTGAGAGTCCTTTGTCCATATGTGTAAGATTAGATCCTTTATGTATTATTATTTGTATATATTGAATTTCAACAAATCCGTTTTAATCTGTCTTTGTGTTTTCTTCTTTTTTCCTCGTATCAGGTATTGATTCCTTGTTATAGAAATTAACAAATAATAGCCAGAAGTTTCCAAGAACGAAATCAAATTTAACCTCAGCAATGAGTAGTTAGTCAGTGTTGAATCTTGAATCTCTTTAAGTATTATCATTCATAATTCTAATTCATCACTCAAAATTTTCCATCAAATTACCAATCAGAAAAAAATTTTTTTTTTTTCTACGATTACAGCGCGGGACAATGCATTGTTGTGACGAGCACTGCAAGGAAATTCAGGATCACATAATCTGGCTTTTCTGTTATTTTCTAAAAATTAGTTTTCTTAAAATCCGATGTAACATATTACTCTCATTCATATTTATAATTTCACAATCAGAGTTAATATATTACTCGCTTTATATTTATAAATAATTCACAATAGGAGTTTAAAATCTGATTGTAATATTTAGCATACATTATGATTATTACAATTATGTTTTCCAGTGATTGTTTAAAATGCCGATTTCATTTGAAGTCATACAATTTAGGTAACTCCTTTGGTATATTCCTTTACTGATCAAATTATCAGTTTATTTAAAATTACGGGATAGGTTTTTTTTAAATATTTTTCTCGTCAAGGATATCTATTTCTTATGTAATTTTCTTATTTCATTTTCTTTTGTAATAAATTCATCACTCGAATTAATCCAGTAATCCAGTTCTTCCCATCATCATTTGTCCTCTTCATTCTGCTACTACTTTTCCTGTTACTCCTATTATTTAGTAGCAGAATTTATATTTACTAAGAAGTATTTCCATATTTTCGTTACTCTTCGCCGATTTCTATTCAAAATGATGAAAAAAGGTTAGATCTTCGAGATTTGTTTGTTTGTTCCTAATTTTATATTGTTTCATTGTTTTTTTTTTTGTTCTAACTTTTTTTTTTAAGTTACGGGATAAAAAGTCTTAAAACATTTCAGTGTTCATTTTCATAAATATCTATTTGTTCACATCAAATTTGTATTTTAATTTTTTTTAATAAAAGTTTTTGCATAAATTTCGCATATTTTCAAACAAACAAATGATTGGTTGCTTGAATTCAAAAAAAAAAAAAAAAAGACTTTTGAATAATGACAAATTTTCGGTATGGAAATATCCGAGGTATCTGTTATTTTGTATATGAAACAAAAAACAAAATTAAAAAAAAAAGCAATTGCAATTGGAACACACGAGAGCTGTACAAGTTTGGGTGACACCTGTATACCAATTTTAAGAATTTCAAATATCGGGCAAAAATGTCGTATGTTTTAGGAACACATAACAATCAATACATTTGTTTATTAAGATTTTTCACTTGAATTAATCAACAAAAACATTTCAAACGATTTTATCCATCCTTTTCTATCATCTCATCTCGAATGTACAATTTGAAAAAATTTAGGGATGTGATACATACACAGAAAGTTAAAACAAATGTTTCCTTTTGAAATGATCAATGAAAATATCAATCATTTAATTGCTGTAGCGATAAATCGATATTATGCCTTGGTGGATCAAATGTAATCCTATCGATGATCTCTCTTTGAATACCACCATTACACAATGATGTAGCACATATGCATAGCAAATTATTCTTCTGCAAAAACAAAATTTATATTAATTAAAAATCATAACTGTTTCAACTTTTACTAACTCTATGTATTTTCCCTTTTTTTTTTTACTTAAATTTATAATTTTAATCGTAAATACAATTTAAACGTAACAATACAAATTGAATGAGAAATATTAATTGGCTCTCACATTCAGTTATTATTTAAAATAACAAAGAATTGAAATTTTTTGCTGGAAGAAGAGAAATATAAAGCAGAGTAAGAAAATTTTATGCAAAGTTTTAATAATTGAACCTATTATCATCGTTTTAGTACATCCAAGCAAAATAATTGTAATTCAAATTTTATGAAAATAATTCAGTAGTGTAATATAATATAATTGTAATTTTCTAGCTTATAAAAAAAAAAAATGTTTTTGATATGAATTTCAAATAAACCTATAAACGTTACTTTTAATACGTACGTATTGTCGAGGTGGTGCTGGTGGTGACGCTTCACGACGTCGTCTTTCTTTTAGCAGTGACGTAAGTTGCACCTCGTCTTGATTCTAAATTTTTCTATTTTTTAAAATAATACGTAAGATTTGATTAAGACCATTTCTTAATTATATATGTATATATTTTAAACATTTATTTCTTTTTTACTATACCTTTTTTCTGATATAATTTAAGAATTTCCATTATTTAAATGTTCAAAATCCACAAAATTTAAGCAAAATTACAGAATAAATTAAAATAAATAAGAATACAATGCAAAAAAAAAAGGTAATTTTTAAAATTTGAATAGAATAAATAAATACCGTAAAAATATTTTCACATATAGCACTACTGGGAAATAAACGAAGATAATGCGGTATTGGTGTTCCCGGGGTTGTGCAAAATTTCCGAATATGAATTTCGTTATCCTTTTCAGATGTATACAAAATTGTTGAGCAACTTTTTGTACCTTTTGGACATTCAATTTTCTGCGAAGAATATGAAATAATACAAAAACAAATTTATCAAAAAACGAAAAAAAAAAAAAAAATGAAAACTGTTTACGTATACAATAACAGAATTAGAAATTGCAAATAAAGTAAATAAAGTTTAATCCAATAAATTAACAAATACTGCATGCAATCATAAAAGAAACATTTACAGTATTTTCAATGTTTTTTAAAACTTTAAATTCTATTATATCTGTTATGTTCACTTAAACAAAATTTTCAAACGCATTCTTTTAATTTAGCCAATTTCAAAAGTAATAATTAAATATTTTCATATTTTTTAATCTCTAACTAATATAAACGAGATAACCTGATCAATGCATTGCTTAACATTATCATTCTTATCATCAATTCCATTATTGCATCGAAAACATTGAAAAGCCATTGTTGGTGCAATAACGATTACCAAGTAGAAAGGTATTTTCATTCTGAAAAATTTTGCTATTTAAAATATTTATTAATAATTTTTCATTTAGAAATGCTTTTTAAGAAGAAAATATTCCGAAATATTTTCCTGCAAAACAATAACTAAAAAAATGTTAGTTGTGCCTTTTTTTTAGACTTTAAAAAAGTTAGAAAAATACAAATTTGACTAAAAAATTATTTAGTTAGAACAATATGCTATATAGAAAATAGCTTGGATGCGAATTAATAATAAATAAGCTAAATTCTTATTTTTTTTCTTAAAATTTTTCAAAATTTTTGAATAACTTCAAAGATTACAGAAATTCTTCATCATCTTTAAATCTTAAATTTTGAGAAAACTCATACTGAAATTTCTTACATTACAAAAGAGTTAAATTTTTAGAACAAATTAATGATAAACGATGATTCTTTTTTCTTTTTTGAGCAGTTAAAGAAAAAAAAAAAATTTGTATTTTCTAGGCATAAGAAGTGAAATTGGAAGCAAATTTCTACTAAAAAATCATCGTTCAAAGTAGAATAAATATTGAAGCGCAAAAGTTTTATGTGACAGTTCAAAAACTCTAAAAAAATAGCAAGAAAATGATAAGTGTCACAACACGTCAAAATTAAATATTTGTGGTGCAAAAAAATATTTGTCGATTAGCTTTCTCGAAGAATTCAAATGTATCCGTTTCGGCGGTAATGTCAGTCATTATCGATAAATAAGTTTTAAAAACTGAACAAAAGTATTTTATTCATAAAAATGAATAAGAAAATAGTCCAATTTAACAATTTAACAAACAACTAACTGCTTGTTGGAGAATATTTTTTTCATTAAAATTTGAAATTTTTTCACAAATTGAATACGAAAGAACTAGAGCAATATTTTAATTTGATAATTTTGCACCAAAATTTTATTGTCCAGTAAATGAGAATTTTGCTTAAAAATTTCGAGACTACCCTACTAATTAAACCTTATCAAATACCTAACACTTAATAGCTTAGCTAACTTTTACGGAGAATATTTTTTTGATTCGACGATATTACTGAAAAATCATAACTTCCCGTTGTTTTTAGAGAGAACTAAAATTTATTTCTATTAAAGTAATTTCTGTTCAACTATAAAAATATATTTTGTTTGTAAAAAATAAATGATTGCGCTGTCATTTCGTCAATTTATTCGAATATCGTCCAAATATATCGAACAAAAGTGATAAAAATTCATTCATTCGTATCCAAAAAAAAGCAAAAAAAAAAAACAAAAAAGGAAAAAAAAAAAAAACGAAAAAGAGAAACGGAAACGTTTAAGGTTAAATAGAAATTTGTTTTTTGCATTGATGTTTTCCTCGCATTTTTCCAAAAA